AAAACATTTTTGATATTTCGATATAACAAATTAAGTTAAATGAATTTTAAGATTTCACAAATGATTTTACAAATTTATATTCGATTCAATTAACCGAATATCAAATTATTACTCCAAGTTTTTCAAGATTAATTTTAATCCTTACTAAATGTGTAAAATTGTGATTTGTACTTAAACTATTTTGAAACATTTTCACAAAGTATTTTGAACCAAAAACAAGCCTTAAATCAATTATTCAAAGGCATGCACCGATGCATCAGTCCATGCATCGATGCATCGATGAATTAATTGAACATCGAATGCATTCCATGCACCGATGCACTCTCCATGCATCGATGCACTCTGAATATTTTCAAAACATCGAATGCATTTGATGCATCGATGCATAAGCCATGCATCGATGCACCAGGCTATTTTTCAAACATAGAATGCATTTCATGCATCGATGCACACTTGGTGCACCGATGCATCAAGTGTTCCAACGGTCAAAATATTTGAATTTTACACGAATGCACCGATGCATCCTTGATCATGCATCGATGCATGAGACGCTCCACCTAGAAAAATTAATTGTTTTCACACCTAAACGGCTCTATTGACTCCACTAATTATCACCAACGTTCAGAATTGATTCAAGGGGTATTTAAACAAGTTCTGAAGCCATTGATCAACAACAAGAAACATCAAGCAACTAGAATCAAGAGATAATCAAAGAGAAAGCATCAAACCTCAAGTTTAAGCATTTCAAGCCTATTTTTCATCCAATATTCATTTGCTTTCAAGAACACTTTTGTACTCAATTGTTTATCTTTGAGTGTTCTTTTCTTTGTTCTAGAATTGTGCAAAATATCTTACCTGTGAGGTTTTCTTGTAAGTTTGCAAATTTGTAATCTTCTCTTTGGGAAAAAAAGTGTTCTCAAGAGTTGGGGTATACTCTTGAGGGATTTTGTAAGGTTATCTCTCTGGCCTCAAAAGAAAGAACAAATTAGTGAATTTGTTGGAAAATCCTTAGTGTGGATAGCTAAGGTAGTGGACGTAGACTTTGTTTGAGAAAGTCGAACCACTGTAAATCGCTGTGTAATTACTTTCAATTTTCTGCAAAAGCTTCCACGAAATTTTTAATTGCCAATTCACCCCCCTCTTGGCCGATTCCGTCGATCGATTAACTCAACAAAAATAATAAGTATCAAAGTCATTAAATAAAACCTACCCTCACATGTTGGCTACCCAATCATGCTTTAGCAAATCCTACCCAACATGATATCTACCCCCATGCCTTGTCATTCACAAAAAAAAAATCCTAACTGCATGATATCTAGTTCGCATGCTTGTTAGAGAAAAATAAACCTAGCCGCATGATTTCTAGTTCGCATACATGCTCAAAATAATAAACCTAACCGCATGATTTCTAGTTCGCATACATTTATTCAAAAAACGAAATTATATGACTCCAAAAGCTTTTCCTTGTGTTCCCTCCTCACGGGACTCTTAAGGTTCAGGTTAGGCTCGACCTAAATTTGGGCTCTATGTTCACTAGGTTCTCGTGTCCTTGTCGGTGCCCCCTTGGGCTGCCGAACCCTCAATCCTGGCCCATCACATGCTTTAGAGGATCGAGTTCAATTTCGAGGGAACACACCTCCTTATGTCCATGCGGAGGTGAATACCATCACGAGGACCATAAGGCGTGAGCTCCAGGAGCAATCCACTATCCCATACGGAGGTGAAAACCACACGAGGGCATAGTCTCTCACTCCTACTTAAATAGGACGGAGCGGGGTTTTAGCTCATGTTATGATAATGCAACTGTGCAGTGTGTGAGGAAAAGCGAAAAAACACATAATAAAAGCACTCAAAAATCAATTCTCAATTCACAAATAATCTGAAACCATTAGCAAATAGATCAGTACAACTATTTAATTATTAATCGGAGCAATCCACTATCCCATACGGAGGTGAAAACCACACGAGGGCATAGTCTCTCACTCCTACTTAAATAGGACGGAGCGGGGTTTTAGCTCATGTTGATAATGCAACTGTGCAGTGTGTGAGGAAAAGCGAAAAACACATAATAAAGCACTCAAAAATCATTCTCAATTCACAAATAATCTGAAACCATTAGCAAATAGATCAGTACAACTATTTATTATTATCGAATTAAATCAAAATACAAACAAAACTTATAAACCCAACAAGGATAAAAACCAAATTAAAACAAATTTATAACTTTCAATTGCAAAGACATTTAATTAATCGACTATCGGCCTGACTCTCTAAACAAAAGTTCCCAGTGGAGTCGTCAAGCTGTCGAAACGATTTTTTCCTTAAAAGGTGAAAAAAGGTGAGATTTTGAAAACCACATTAATTCTTAATTGTCTCTTTTTATTTTAAAAACATATATGATTTAAAAGACCTCTCGTTTCGAAAAATTTTGAATTTCCTTTACGATCGAAAATACGGTTCGAAGAGTCGCCACCAATCTTTGATTAGGGTGTGATTGGGCACCCAAAAATGCTTTGTCATTTTAAATAAAAATTAATTTTAATTAAAACAACAAATTGAGGTATGCGTTACCAAAATCCGAGTTCGGGATTCGGTTACGTGTGGGAAGGATTAGCATCCCCACAAACGCCCTAAATCGGTACCAGTCGATTAATTACGTCTTTGCAATGAACTTTACAAATTCGAATTTATTTTGATTTTTGATCTCATAAAATAAAAATAAATTTAAAACATTCAAAACACTCAAACAAATTAAATTAAAATTATCAATCATTTAGAAAGATAGAATGTTCGATTATTTACAAATATCGAGACCAGATCTTAAAGATATAACAACATTTTCTCAATATATTTAAATAAACGAACATTTCTTTCTCTCGTTTCCAAATTTTAGGTGACGAATCAATTTTGTTCACTTTCGGGATACACTTTTATTTTAAAATCATTAAAAGCGGACCTCAAATCAGTTATGACTGCCCACTTAAAACAATTTTAAATTAAAAAGATACCCTTAATCCAATTATGAATATGTCGAGTTATGCAAGTGAGACTATCATGCAAATTATGCAAAAACTCATGTAATTAATTAAACATGCGATTAAAATAAATGAGTAAATAAATCTAAAGCTTACTATTAAACAAAGAGCACAAACAAACTATCAATGCATTACATATACCAAGATCACATAAACTGAGACCACCTGTAAAACTAAAATGAAACTGAGAAAATGTATGCCAAATAGCAACATCACATAACTTAAAATAACATACTCACATGACTAAAATGTGACATGCAAAAACCTTAAAGTCTAATATCTAACACATAAATTAAACAAATCATATAGGACAAATTAAATGAACATAAATAAATAGACAATTAGATATATGCAAACTTCTACCTAGGGACTAAAATGTAACATGCGAAAATTAACAGTTTAATGTCTAAAACAGCAAAGATTAATACAAGAATAATTAGGGCTAAAATTAGATGCGGGTAAAATAAGAGACAAAACTATAAACATGCAAATGTGATTTATGGACTAAAATGAAATGCAACAATTCAGAAGTTAAATGTCTAAAATAACAAAAACTAATATAACATTTGGGACTGAAATTAAAACGCATAAAATAAAGATGAAAAATTGGAAACAGGAAAACATTCGGTTTGGGGACCAAAATGAAATAAACACAAAAACGATAGGGATTAAACGACACTAATGACTCAGTGGCTAAAGCTAATTAACCCTAAAGTCTGAGTGGCCAAAGTTAATTTATCCAAAAAACCTAAATAACTAAACCTAAACTAAAACCCAAATCACTGTAACATACCCAACAACTTCCTCCCCTTTCTTTCCACTTTCCATCTCTCCCTCAGCCTCACACAGTGCTGCTCACCCTTGAACCCCCTCCATCTCTCGGTCATGCTTTATACACACCAAACGACCCCCGACTAAGGCCCCAACCCAATCTGACTCTTTAGTTATTTTCTCTAGACCACAAACCCGAGACTAAAAGCTCGCTAAATCGACCTCTAGAAGACCACAAAAGTTCATACCTCTCAAAACCAAACCATCATCGCTCACCTCTAGACACTTTGACTCGCACTTCGGCGACCCACGACAAGGAATCAACGATGAGGTAAATATCTCACCTACCTACGTTTTTTATATATAAAGAACCTCCTCTAAACTTTCGAATGGCGGTTATGCTCAAAGGAAACCACTGCCAACCGACGGTTCGATAAACCCCATGGGATAACTACGATGCAAGTAAAAAAAACAAAACTAAGCAAGGTAACGTAACTAGCATCTTCTCTGTATTTTCACTTCTTAGAAAAAAACATTCATGGAAATTACTAACAATTAAATTAAAGATAAATACCAAGAAAATTGCTCTTATTAATATTGCTTTCCTGAAAAATGAATATGTTACTGCTTGATCTCTTTCTCCCTATATGCTTCTGTTGTTGTTTTTAGAATGGTCTCTGGTTCCTCTTTCGTTTTTGCTCTGTGCTCTCCAACTCTCACCGTCCTCTCGGTTAATTCTTCTATGGTTTTTTTCTTTGTCTCTTTAATCTCCCTCTTTCTTGTTTATCTTTTATCTTTTATGATCCCCACAATTTCCAGTAGTTAATCCCTTAAAACTGACCCCTTTCCTCCACTTTGCTTTGGTTAACTCCCAAAAACCGCCTTTTTAATTGTTTAGGATTTCACGTGGACTGGGCTTGATTATTGGATTGGGCCTCCAACTGTTCTGCTTCGGGTCTGCTCCGACTTAGCCCCGGACAAAAACGAGCATCTACAAAATGTTTTTGATATTTTTATTTATTTTTTAAATAATTATAACGTCATTCGATTATTTCGACTGATTTAATCAATTCATCTGATTGAATTAATGAATAGATAGTACAACCAGTTCGTTGACCAGTCCGATTCTAAAAACCATGAATTCAATTGAAAACCGAATATTAAACACAAAGAGACACGGAAAAGAAGGCATGCCTGTCTCGTTAGGATTTCTTGAGCAAATGACTGTTCTTGCGATGCCAAACGGCTCCTCACCTCCTTCAATTCCGCCGCAAGCGACTCCACGTTACGCCGGAAACTTTGTTTCTTCTCATTCAAATCCTTCAACAAAGGATCAAAATCCCGAGGCGATGAGGACGACACGGATGGAATCAGGATACCACGCTCTTGACCGAAGGCAAGTACCGCTATCAGGGATATAACTTTCTTGACCCGAGTGAGAATATGCAGAGGTAGCTAAAAGATCAGATCATGAATGCAAGAGCTTTGAAGGAGATAAAAAAATAGTGGCTTAGAGGCAGGTTCTTAGTCTTTGCTTGTAGCAATGGTGCATTTAATTAACGTGGGACAGCAAGAAACAAGTTTGTAATACATAATCTATACTAATAATACTCGCAAGATTTAAGGAAGGCTAAATGACCATAAGAAGTCTTTGTAATTTGTTTATGAAGACATAGAGGGAGAAAGAGACAGCTTCTATTTCAATTTGAAAATTGTGAAAAATTAATAAAATCGAAACAGTTCTAAGAGGAAAGAGAATTTTCTAGGGAAAGTGAAAAGAAGGATGGAATTGAAACGCCATATTCAAAACTCCAGAAGAGCGAAAAAGCCAAAGAGAAAATAATAAAAAGAAAATATTTTGGCTTTTTACAGAAAAACAAATAGACAAGAGAGAGAGAGAGAGAGTTTACCAACCAATAAGCCATGGAAAGGCAGCTATTTCACTTCTGTGTAGCTGTGTCTGAGAGTAACCTGGGAATTTTGACAATTAAGCTAAAGCTTATTGCGATCTGCTTGTGGGATTTAGTTTTCAGTGATTGAAAAGATAGATGGTGGAGAATAAATCGGAAGAGATGAGATTGGATCTTTGAATTTGTTAATGGAATCCCGAGGGGCAGGGATGGAGACTAATGGTAAAACTTTCGAGATAATCGGAATAAATTAAATCACGATATAATGTATTCTCCAGATTAATTATTTAAATATAGTGAAATTTACAACGTTGGTCGTTATGTCTTTTGGACGACTTACTACGTGGCCAATTTTTCGGTGAACTCATAGAGAGAATGAACGTGTTGCATGACACATGTACGTCCCAACACATAGGTCGTCATGCCTCTCCGGGAGACCCGCTCGGCTGCCCTCGGATGCCCAGCATGTTGGGATGTACATAGCACATGCAATCTCTCATAGCTCGTCAGGAAGACATGACGACCTAGTAGGTCATCCGGAAGGCATGGCGACCTACGGCCAATACTGTAAATTTCACCTTATTTGAGCAATTAATCTTACGAGTGCATTATCTCGTGAATTAATTTCTTCCAAAACATTATCTCGAAAGTTTTGCCAGATACTAATTGATTGATTAATTGTTTCCAAATATTATTTATTTATGACGCAATTAATAAATAAATATTCAAATTATATATGTTTTTAAGTTTAGATAAATATTTTATTTCCTACTTTTAGATTGTTTGTTAAAAGTAAATTTTAGATTGTCTGTTAAAAGTAAATTTTAGATTGTCTGTTAAAAGTAAATTTTAGAGTGTCTGGTGCAGCCATTTTTAAATATATATTTTGATTTTGATTTTTTTTTCAATTAAAAAACAAATATAAAATATTTATGAAAAAAACGTTAAGTTCACCTGTGATTTCTAATAAAAAGCTAAGGTCAATCGTTCTGAATAGATGAAAAAATTAATTGTAAAATAAAAATATTAGTATTAAATAACACATATAGGATGGGAGAAACATCAGGCTATCTCAATTGAATAAGATTCAAAGCAAACAAGTGTTTCCCCTTAAATTCATCTACTCTGCAACCTGGACTGCCTTCCACCGTATTTGCTTCTTTGAGTGGAAGTGTTCCCAAATTTGAGAGGCACAACTTGTGCAATATATGATTTTCCAGGAAAATTCCTTTTTTCTCTGGGGAGAGGAAGAAGCTCTGGTAACCAAAATGCTACGTACTCCCCATCTGGATCATATGTCTGCGCCTGAAAATTTGTTCAAACCGATATTGCATGCTACTCGGCCATGTTTTTATTTGAAGTTGAAAGTGACTCAATCTTCGCAAACTAGTGTAAATGCATAGAGAAAAAGTGTATCCAACTGCACTTACTTGCTTTGGGATGCTGAAATACCGATCTTCTCTGGGATCATTTCCAACTCCTTAAAAGAAGAAACATTATATCATGTTAGGTTAAGACTTGTCATAATTCCAGAAGAAAGGTTGAACAAATGAGTTCACAATTCGGTCAAGAAAACTGCATAGTATGCATCTTGCACATAGGGGTGCAATTTGCAAATGAACCAAGCTTGAACGAATGAAACTGTATTCCTGTTCGCTTATTTATTTTTGAAGGTGTTCATGTTCATACTCATTTGTTTAGCTTAATGGACGAATGGTTCACGAACTGTTATTCGAACACTCTATTCATTTACACCCCTACTTGCACAGTTGAATGTCAACTGCTTCTTAACACAAGAAACTCTAGAAGAAGCAAAATGCAATACTATTATCTTGAAAAATATGTTAGGAAAAGGTATATCCATGAATCACCTGCACCATACGTCCAGTTTCCATAGTTCGAACATGGATCGTAATCTAAAAGGCATGTCTCAAACCATTCTGCACCCATGCGCCAGTCAATTCCCATGTCTCGAACAAGAAAGGAACATACAATCTGCATGCCATTTGATCATGTTGAAAACTTGTTTAACAGGTTGCACGATTCTGAAAGCAACAACTACAATTATATTCTACATGAAAGGGGAAAAAAAAGTTTACCTGCCGGCCTCGATTCGACATAAATCCGGAGGCTGATAGTTCCTTCATGTTTGCATCAATTAGAGGGTAGCTACAAGTTTGTGAAATCCACATAAATGCATGATGATGTATATAAATGAATGAAATGAAGCATCTGCAATATACCCAGTGCAGCCATTTCTCCAGGTCTCAAACAATTTTTGGTCTTGACGCCACCTCTGTTCCACTTTTCTTGGGCCACCTAATTACCATAAACATTAGTAATACACTCCTAAAGAAATTCGAATAATTTCGATCTTTACCTAAATAGAAAAGCGAATTCCCATGTTTTATCGAAACAAACCGGAAGTAATCCCTCCATATCAATTCAAACAACACCCTGCAACAATTGTCATAGTTGAAGATCAAGCCTCGTATCAGACTAAACAAATAAGTTTTTCACGGCAAGTTGGAATGACAGAAGGTACCAGTATGTGGAGTCATTTGCTTGCCTTTCCTTTTCATATCTCTTTACCTGATAGTATTAATCAAAATACTGACCCGAGTTAAAATTATCATCTTCGATCTATAACACTGTTATTCAATAACAGCAAATGAAAAAAATGGAAAGTCAAACTTCGGTTACCTCTTCATATACGAATCGAGGAGAGAGACTTCCTGAAGCAAGCCATGGAGAGAACTTGGTTGAGTAATCAGGTCCTAACATCCCATTCCTTGTCTCCTTGTAAATTTTTAACAAGTCCTATATAAGAATACACTTTGTTACTACATTTTCTCTAGAATACAGATGATGCAAGTAAATAGATCATTCTACCATTTACATAAAGTAATAAGCCAATAATTCTTGCCTTCTTCCAGAAGTATTCTGTAACCCTGCCTAATGCAGCAGCCTCACCTCCCATAAATCTCATTCCTTTTGTAGTCTGTCATTCATGGGGATAAAAATCACTAAAAAGTTAAACTTTTTAGTGCTTATTGAATACTGATTTGTATGCATAGTAGTATGACATGTTAACTTGCCTTCTCCAAATGAAGTCCAAGTTGCTCAATTGAAGGAATGATTCCCCAATCATCAATACTAGGAGGTGGTCCAAGTGATTTCGGAAGTTTGATGCAACCTCGGATGGTGCATTTGGCTTCGACAGACTGAAAGCAATCATTATGTTAACAAACATCCAATGTGCAAAACCTCCATACAATGATTCAGAACCCAAAGTGATTACGATTTTCGAATCATGCCTTACGAAACTGAGTATATACATCTGGCAAACTGTTGATATTGAATGGAAGGTCATCTAAGTGATACAAAGTGCCGCCCCATGAAAGTTCTAGCTTAGGGCTGTGGGATAAACTTGACCTGCTAGAATTGCCTTGAGTAGGTGGTAACACCACCTGTCTCAGACTTCGTGCGACCGATCTTTCAACTTGAAGCTCCTCGGAGCAGGTTTCTTTATGAGCATACACCTGAGAAGAGTAGTTTTCGAACTGAGCACTATGGAAATCCAATAATATAGTAATTCTCAATTGTAAATTCACCTCTAGGACTAGACATTATAGTGCAGGGAACTTAACTGTGTGGGCTCCAAAAGCCCTTGCAAGCTTAGGAAGAATGTCCTCTGGTTTCCCATGTTGAATGAGAAGATTGAGACCCTTCTTCATTAAATTTTTCTTCAAATCACCCAAGCATTCCATGATAAATTGTGCTCTCAAAGCTATCACGAATGAAACGGAAAACAAATAATTTCATCTCAAAGCTAAACTTATGTAATCATTCAATCTTTGAAAACGACAATATCCCAAACCATTAATGCTCACAAATAAATGGAAAAAGGTAGAGCAAAACAAGAAGAAGAAAAGTGAAACCTCCAGTCTTAGGGAAACCGAAGTGATAGGTGGTGGTCTGAAAGAGACGAGGATCGATGCAGTAAACAGGCAAAATAGCCTCCGAAGAAACCCAGGCCTTGAACAAAGGCTCATTATCTAGCACCCTCAGATCATTCCTAAACCAAACAAGGGAAACCCCTTTTCCATTATTCTTCACTGTGTTTGATGAGTACCTTTCGAAAGTCTTCTCCGCAATGCTGTCCATTTCAAGGGGGTCCAGTCCCGGAACCTGGTACAGCGTTGAGGAAGAAACACACTGGGTTTGGGACTTTGAAGCAGAGCTCATGATGCGCCTAAAATCAAGACGGAACTTAATTTGCGTTGAAAATGCAAATGTTGAAGACGAAGAAATGATATTTTTGGTTTGCGAAAGTGGAAGCAAGGAGGAAGGAGAGACAATACCCATATGAGAAGTAGTTGGAGTTTCGAGTTTTCTACTTTCTAATTCTGGCTGGCAAAGCAAATCTTTAAGCAGTTGTGCAGTTAACACGTGGATATGAATGACGTGGTGATCACTAAACCAGGAGATAAGTCTTAAAGAATTTGTATCGGCGTTGGCCTGTTTCTGTCCATGAATCTGTATAGTCTTAATTAATTTGGTTTGCGAATTTGTATAGTCGTTGGCCTGTTTCTGTCCAGGAGATAAGTCTGGTGCTCGGAAGAAATAAGAGAAGAAGGACAGCTGCCGAGTACGAGCGACGGAGGACGGGTGGTGGTGGGAGAATTCAGAGACGATTTCGCCCGGAGGATGGGCAGCGACAACGGCGGAGGCAGAAGTTGCGTTCATGGCGATGATATTTGAATTGATAGTGAGAGAAGAGGGCATGGAACGGATAAATGGGTGAAAGGATCAACTATGATTGAAGTGGAAATTAACAAGGGTAAACTATACAAATAGTCAGTAAAGTTAGAAAAATATTTTGTTTTTGTTACTGAAATATAAAAAGTAATATTTTAGTCACTAATATTATCGATTTATAACAAATCAATTCGGCTTTTAACAGTCGGATAATGTGACCCGGAATGTATTACTACATATTTAACTTCCTAAAATGTTTGAATAACGTTCTTCATCTTTCTCCGTTGTCAAGTGATTAACGTTATGTAACACTTACTATGAAGAAGAGTGTTGCACAATTCACCAGTGCAACAATTGATGTTTGACGTTGTAGTATTTTGCTCCACCGCCACTTCCCCTCTATTTGAACGCGAGCTTGGAATTAAAGATTTTATAGTTGTGAGATTTTTTTTTAGATTTTTAAGAAATTTATTTTTTTTAAATAAATATAAAAACGTCACATGTCACCGTTTAAGTAGTTGATGACTTTTTTAACAATTACGATGAATAAATACATAAAATGATAATAACAAAAACATTTAACACCTACCTTAAAAGGCATTATACACGTAAAGTGGTTTGAGGGATTGTGTTGGGAGAATTCAGAGACGATTTCGGCCGGTGTAATGAATAAGGGTTGAGGAGGGGCAGCGGCAGCGGCGGAGGCAGAAGTAGCGTTCATGGCGATGATATTTGAATTGATAAATGCCGAAAGGATCAAGGATGAAGGAAGTGGAAATTAACACATATAGGATGAAGTGATGTTGAATGTGTGGCTACATATTTGCCGGAACATGCAGATATTTTCTATGATCAGTTATTTTGGACGACATAGAAGTCAGGGCCTCAGGGAATGGGCGACGAGTCATGTGTAAGATTGAATGTCATTTAAAATTTAGTTTTATATAAAAATATTTTTTCTAATTAATTTAAATTAATATATATTCGTAATCTTTTTATTATTTACGACACATTCTATATAGATATAATTATTTAATCGAGTGAAAAACGGTAGAAGTTTGCCTTCAATATCATTTGATAGAAACTAAATGAAACAATAAAAACAGACATAGATCTCACTTGAAAACCAAACTAAATAGTAGAAATTTGCATTAATTGTTGTAAGTGTAGAATCCCTTAGCAAAAATAAAATAAAAAACTAAGATAAAAACGGTATTTGCCCCCACTATAACACCATTCAAAGTATGTTGCACTCGTCAGGGAGATGAACTACCGGTGGCCTTTAGGTGGAAAAATAATAGTTACTTACCGGCCGCGGCGGTGGCGGTGGTGATAGTGGTGGAAAAGCGTATCGCTGTCCGTCGTGCCATGAAAAATAGTGGTCCGGCCCTCCCATAGGTGGATATGGATGAACCGATCCATAAGGAATGAACCCATAATAGTTATGGTGGGGATGATAAATTGGCTCCCTAACATCCCCTTCAAATGTAATCCAAGCTATTTCTCCATGTTTACCATTTTTTTCAAAGATCTTCATAATTATAGACGGATTTACATTTCCTGAAACTTTCAGTGTCCCTTTCTCTGCATCAATGGCAACAGAATATACGCCTAAATCCAATAAAAAAAAGGAAGATATTACTCTCCTGGAAAACATTTTCCTGGGGAAAAAAGGGTTTTTTTACTGCAATATTCATTGAAGAATAGGAACTGAATTACCATGGAGATTCTGCAAAACATCCATCATCTTCCTTTTGCATGTCTCACAATTGACGTTCACTTTCAAAACACAAGTCTGCAATAAAGAAAGAAGAAACCCCAAGAAAATAAATTAGTTTCAAGACGAAGTGATGGAAAATATTGTTAAAAAGAAGAAGATGAAACCATTTACCATTTGTGCACGAGATTCCATTGAAGCAACGTTTTGATGGAATTCCTGGGTCAAGAAAAAGAAAATTGCTCATGTGTTTACATTTACATAGTGAGAGAGAGAGAGAGAGAGAGAGAGGAGAAATTGAGTTAGTGAGATAAGGTAAGTAATAAAGTAATGGATTTTGTTTCTTTCATATGTAAACAAAATTTCCTAAAATCCCTCCTTTCTTTATTGCTTAATCCGTGTGCATGAGGTGGTTTTAAATTTTCATATAATTTGGATAACTTTTTGTATTTTCCATCTGTTATGTGCTCATACACTTGCAACTAAGGCCCTAATTTGTATATCAGAGTTGCAGTGTGCCTGCTTTTTGGGATGGTTTGCTACGTGCACTCTCTTGATAAAACGATTCGAAGAGGTTTTCGAGCGAAAGATGAAAGAAGGAAACAACTCTGTACGGGGACTTGATTGAATAAAAAGCATTTCTTGCTATATGAGATAGTACAATTGACATATATGTTGAATTTTCATTCACAAGCTATAAACAACTAAGGACAATTGGGTGCTAGCTAGAGCGGTATAGAGGAAACCCGAGTTCATATCTGTGCCTACTCAATTCTCGGGCTCCGCCTGCATGGTGATGATCTCCGATAAACGAGTTGCATGGAAATTGGCAATGAAAGCGGAAGCTTTCCTGTCAATACCAGGCTCTGCAACCACTCCGGAAGTACTGTCTTCCTCACTGGGATACACCTTTCTTGTGCCCCAACCATCTTCCTCCTGATCGTAACCATTACGACCCTTCTTAGCTTTGAAGAGACCCAAGAGGAAGGATTTCTTGTGTTTGTTTCCTGCCATGGCCAGAGATATATGTATTTTGTGTTTGAGTTTGCAGCGCAGCAGTGTGATGGTATCGGTGGATCTGAGGCCCGTTTTATAGGGGGCGGCCAGCCAACCATGTAAGAGAGAAGGAATCAATAATGATAATTGAGAACAAGCGTGTGCGTTGGGGAGGCTAAACTTCTCGTCCCCATGTGCTGTGGTCCGTCGCTTGCTTGGTTTGATTGACAGGAGAAAAGCAATGGTTGAGAGGGAGTTTACTACCTCATTTCTTGGGTCTTTGCCTGTATTATTTTTTATTCTTTAGCTGAAAATTAAATCATCGACAAGGTTGCATGCACTATACACCTTCCTTCTTCGGGTAAAAGAATTCGAATTATTCTGTGAGGTCTAGTACTTTGTGGGTATCCATATTGTTGGGAAATAAACAGAGTACGAATAATTTCCCTATAACCATATTAGTGAGAATGCGAAATAAAAGCGAAAAATAATACATGAAATTGATAACGGAGTTCAACCAATTTTGCCTACGTCTCCGGACTGCTGCAGATCTTTTACTAAGAGAGAAAATTTACAAGTGTTTACAAAACACTCACTACTCACAAGAAAACTCTCTAGTATTGGGAGAGAAATGATTTGGGATTTTGGGATGATTATGAAGCTAAATGAGCTAGGGTATTTATAGTTAAAATTTAAGGACCAACTTGTAAATACCCTAAAATTCAAGGACTCAATTTTGTAATTATCACTTGACAATTTCAACAATTTGGTGTTGCCCAAATTGTTGAATTCTTCAGCCACCCATGTGGGGAAAAAACCAGCCGCCCCACTTGTTAATATTCAACAATCTCCCACTTGAAGACTGATTTTAATCTGTCTTCACACCTCGATCAATGCAACAACATTTATGCTCTTGTTACTGTAGCATGCCAACTGAATCTGAACACAACTTCAATTTGTCCGTAGTCACTGCCCTATAAACCCACTTGTTATTGGGCAGTTTCTCCGTGGTTGCCTTGTCTCTTAACGTCTTAGCTCCCTTCGACTCTTGTCCACTAGTCTTTGAAGGATTGTTCCTCACTTGAACATCCTCGGCAAGCCCTTGCTTCGACCCTTCTCTTAAGATGGTCTCTGAAGACATGTTCTCTACACGAACATGCTCGACAAATTTGTTGGACATGGACAACTCCTCCTGCACTTGGCTTCTACTCGTCTTGGCAGAAATGAACCTTATTGAGTCAACTCTCAACGCCTCTTCGATCCTGGGTTTGTCATCTTCTCTGGACAACTCGATCTTGGGCTCATCCATCACCTTGGATGACTCGTCTCCCCTCGGGTAATTTTGCAATACTTCTAGCATCTTAAGTCTGTGCCCCCTCTTTTGCTCGACTTTTACCCTAGGTTTAACATCTTTGACACTCAAACTTATGCCAAGACTGCACACATTTTCACCAGATCCACCATCTGGTTCATCTTTGACTGGACTTTCTTTGCCACTCGAGGAACAACCTTCCTCATCCTCTGGCTGTCCTTCATCGCAGAATCTCTTGCCACTACCCTCGGATTTCGGCTTTGCTTTGGAAGTCTTGTTCTTCTTGACTCCAAATTCTTTGATGGTCTCTACGGTTGTCAAGGCTTCAAACAACCCCTTGATTTCCCTTCACTCCAACACTTTTTTTTGCCCATGGCTTCAATCTGAACATGAAGGTGAAGAATTCATCTTCTTCAGTCAAACTTGGGACTTTGATCATGAGTTTTCTGAATCTACTCACATACTCCTTAAGTGTCCCTTTATGCCTGAGACGCCTCAACTTGGACCACGCCTCCATCCTGGCATACTGTGAGCGGACTTGCTCACATTGTGCCCTCGGCTTGATGGCTTTATCTCTTGCTATCGCACCAGGTCCCTTCTTGTGCTCGACTGCTTTGACACCCACAGTCTCGTCACGTTTTTTTCCGGGTTCGACTGTTTCAACATCAACAGCCTTGCCTCGTCTCGATCCTTGCTTGGCCGCATTCATCCCATTAATCGGGCCAAGTCTTTTTCCTAGCTTGGTAGCTTTAACACTTGCGACCGCGCCAATTCCCGCTACTTCTCCTTCTTCCATCCTCTTCATGATGGCTGTAAGGCGACGCTTCTCGGGACATCTTCTAATCAAATGAGGACCATCACAGAAGTAGCATTTCAATTTTTCCTTGCTCTCCTTCTTCTTTACACCTGACTTAGCCTTGTCATTCTTTCCTGATGGCTTTCCTTGGCTACGAACAGTCGATGGCTCACCTTGGTCATTCGAAGAGCTTTCTCTACCATTTCCCTGCTGCACCTTTTCCCTGTCTCCACCACTGTTGCCACTATCTCTGGGCATGGGCTTGGACGACACATCGCTACTTGGCTTGTCACCTGCAAGCTCAGTCAGCTTTTCGGCTACAACCATGGCCTCCAAAAGTCTCTGGGCATTTCCTTGCTCTTCCCCGAGCATTACCCCTGGTCTAAGTCCTTCCAAGAAGGTCTTGAGCGCATCACATTCACTCATTGTTCCCTTGCATATGAGCAACTCCCTCTTGAGCTCATCAACTTCGTTTCTCAAAGTCATCGCTCCCACTCGAATCTGGTTTCTTTGGATCGTTTCTGGTAATTCTTGCAAATCACCGTGTATTAGAACACCTCCGTCGACAAATCCGTATCGCAGACAAAATTTAACTATTCACGAAATTTACTATTCACGTGAATAATAACCTCACAAAAAATTGACAAAATTCACAACCAAAAGCTCTGATTACCAATTGTTGGGAAATAAACAGAGTACGAGTAATTTCCCTATAACCAGATTAGTGAGAATGCAAAATAAATGCGAAAAATAATACCCAAAATTGATAACGGAGTTCAACCATTTTTGCCTACGTCTTCGGACTGCTGGAGATCTTTTACTAAGAGAGAAAATTTACAGGTATTTACAAAACACTCACTACTCACAAGAAAACTCTCTAGTATTGGGAGAGAAATGATTTGGGATTTTGGGATGATTATGAAGCTAAATGAGCTAGGGTATTTATAGTTGAAATTTAAGGACTAACTTGTAAATATCCTAAAATTCAAGGACTCAATTTTGTAATTATCACTTGACAATTTCAACAATTTGGTGATGCCCAAATTGTGAATTCTTCAGCCACTCATGTGGGACAAAAACCAGCCGCCCCACTTGTTAATATTCAACACATATTAATAATAAAAATCTAAGAAAACCATCCGTACTTTCTATTGATAATTGTTCTACCAATCTTTTGAAAGTTAATTTTTTTATATTTCACGATTATTAATTCAGATTGACCCACATCGCATACTTAGCTTTAGTAGGTGTGTCTTCCAGCGAGAATTTTTGCGTATACAATGACTCTAACCCAAAATTTCACTTAAATGATATTAAATTGTTTATCACTTAAACCAACTCGTTAATAAAAATTATGTTTTTAGTTCTACTATTTCTTTTTTAAAAGATAAGAAAAAAATAGTTTTGATTTACGTTGCAATGGTGGGAAGGTTAAAACTCAGATTTCTCATTGAATTTTTATTCGATCTAATTAAGTTAAAAATAATTCAAATTAATTGAATTGACGAATTTTTTTAGGATTGAACTTTATTTAAATTTTTAGTCGAATTTCCCACTTAGCTCGGGTACAAATTCAATCAGCAATTTTAGTTTTAACCTCCCCACCATTGCAATGAAAATCAAAACTAGTTATTCCCTTTTATTTTTAAGAAATAGTAGTATAAAAAAATTATTTCCTAATTAAAAAAGTATCAAGGATTTATTATTAGAGTTTTAATTTTGGTTTAATTCTTTTAAAGTCCCTTACAATTCATAATTAGGTTCGATAATATATTGTCTGATCGCATATCATAATTCTAAAAAAATATCGGGTAATATTCATTTATTAGAGATTAATGGTATAATTTTTGCTTTTGCTCGAGAGCGAATATTGTTAATTGACTAAATACAAAAACAAGTGGCTGGATTTTGCCTCGAAACTCGTTTTATTGTCTAAAGAATTTTTTGTTAAAATTAGGTGTCTAATGTTTTTATCGGAATACTTTTAAGTGTCTAGATTGTAATGACCATTAAATTTTATTGTTAAGTAACACGTGTCAAGTCCTGTAATTTTGGGAATTTTTAAAAAATATTTTTACTAAAAAAAGACTCAAATCTCATCTCATCCAGCACCCTCCCTCTTTCCCCTTTCAATGGTCATTAGCCAGGCGGCCATGATCGTCACCGCCACCATAATTAGCATCGGCGTCGACTCCCGGTCAAACCCCCGTTGACCTTTCACCATAATCTGCCACCATTTGTCGTGGAGAAGCGTTCAAAGGTTCGTTGAAATTTAAGCCACCATCGTTGTTTTTCATCGATTCCGGTCGATCTTAATGTTTATAAGCCACGTCGTCACCACCATTTGAACCACCGTGAAATTCCGCTCAAAACTCATCCTCGCCATCGCTCTAGTGTTGCTCCTCCGGCGTTCAATCGTGGAGATTATGTTTTTAAAGTTTTAAGGATTTGGATATTGGGGATTTTATAGATTTAGGGGATTTGGGTGACGGTAAAGGCAAAAATTGATCGATGGGTGGTCGGCGATGGGTGGATGACCGTTCGATCATGACGATGGCGCTGGAGATGGCCGGCAACGGTTGATAACGGGTTGAAATGAAAAATTTTAGTTTTTTAGAGTTTTTTTGGTAATTTCATTAAAAAAATTGGGGTTCTTTTGTAAATAAATTAACTTTTTTTTTTAATTTTTCTCTTTTTTATTATTAAAAAAATTTAAAAAATTATAAAAAAATAACGGTAGACACCTAAAAGTGTAAGTGAGAAAACGGTAGACACCTAAAAGTGTAAGTGAGAAAACATTAGACACCTAAAAGTGTAACTGAGAAAACATTAGACGCCAATTTTTTGCGAAAAATTCTTTAGAAACCAAATCGTTTTTAGAGAAAAAGTTCAAACACTTATTTTTGTATTAAGCCTTGTTAATTATAGAAATAAATCAATGTCCTTTTTAAATATACATACCATAATTTTAAAAATTAAAGCAATATTCATTTATTAGAGTTTAATGATATAACCTTGGCTTTTAATGCACTCGATGTGATAATTGTTAACTTTGAAAGAAATTGGTACCATTTTCAAAAGTTGCATCATAATAGATCATAAATTAAATAAAAACTCTTTTTTACATATTTTTTAAAATCCGTGAGGCTTAACATTATATTGCATTCAACCTTGTGAATGATATGATTTTCAGCAAAGGAATAAATAATGCAGGCAAAAACCCAAGAAATGAGGTAGTAAACTCCCTCTCCACCATTGCTTTTCCCCTGTCAATCAAACCCAGCAAGCAACGGACCACAGCACATGGGGATGAAAATTTCACCCTCCCCAACGCATACACTTGTCCTCCGATTCCTTCTCCCCTACATGCTTGGCTGCTCGTCCCCTATAAAACGGGCCTCAGATCCACCGATACTATCAGACTGCAGCGCTGCAATCTCAAACACAAAATACATATATCTCTCGCCATGGCAGGAAACAAACAAAGAAATCATTCCTCTTGGGTTTCCTCAAAGCTAAGAAGGGTCGTAATGGTTACGATCAGGAGGAAGATGGTTGGGGCACAAGAAAGGTGTATCCCAGTGAAGAAGACAGTACTTTCAGGGTGGTTGCAGAGCCTGGTATTGACAGGAAAGCTTCCGCTTTCATTGCCAATTTCCATGCAACTCGTTTATCGGAGATCATCACCATGCAGGCGGAGCCGGAGAATTGAGTCCGCCCAGATGTGAACTCGGTTTTCCTCTACACCGCTCTATCTAGCACCCAATTGTCCTAGGTTGTTTCCAGTTGTTTATATGTAGTTTGTGAATGAAAATTGAACATGTATTATGTCGTATAGCAAGAAATGATTTTTATTCAATCAAGTATCCGTACACAGCTGTTTCCTTCTTTCATCTTTCGCTCCAAAACCTCTTCGATTCTTTTTATCAAGAGAGTGCACATAAGATATAAAATCATCTACTAAATATATATTTATTCACATTAAGATGTGACCTACAAAGATATATATATTTACTCCTTACATTAATATGAGAGATTTTTTGTTATGAAAGATATTAATATATTATTTTTTTTGTTCTAAAAGAATGAGTTATAATATCAATGTGAGCGATTTTCATTTTTGTTACTCATATGATGTATTATTACATAAAATGCATGTAAAATGATAGTAACCCAAATTATTACTACCACCACAGCTTTCATATATTTCTTGTTGGAAATGTAAAAGTTGGGTTTATATCAAAAGAAAAATTAGGTGTTTGTAGTGCATTTGTTTTCCTTCTTTGTTGAGCAGTGTAAGCCATGTTATTCGGAGGATGAATGCAATTTTTTTACGTTTGAGAGGTGAATTTTTAGAGATAAAAA